TTTTTGACTGAAGATTTTTTAATGTTAGAGTTGCAAAGTTTCTTAGAACTAATTCTGTGCAATGATGAGACTCAAAAAAGTGAAGTGACATGGCAGAGTATCCCGCAAAATACAGCCAGGACCAGACCCTTCTTGTAAACCAGGGTTCCTCAACTGTACCACTGCTGACATCTTGGATCGGTAGCTCTTGGGGGTGGGGACCATTCTGTGCATTATAGGATGTTTAGCATCCCTGTCCTCTATCAGATATCAGTAGCATCAGCCCTCTTCTGTTATAACAATCAAAAATATCTCCAGACGTTTCCAAATGTCCCTCCTGCCGGGAGAGGGAGGTACTTGTGAGATGTCACAGAATCTGACTCTGTTGAGAACCACCGTAAATGTGAACCACTGCTTTTCAAAGTGTGGTACCCAGACTAGCAGCACTAGCAACCCTGGAAACTTGTTAGAAATGCAAATTATCGGGCCATATCCCAGATCCATTAAATCAGAAACCCTGGGGTTGGCTCCCAGTAATAAGCCCTCTGGATGATTCTGGCACATTAAAGTTTGAAAGCCAGTGGTATAGATTATCTCTAACCCTTACAAAAACAAAAATATAAGAACCAAGGCTCAAACAGATTACCTAGCTTGCTCAGAGCCTAACTTAGTAACAGTACGGCCTGGACTTGAACAGGGCTCAAGAAACCAGAACCAAGCCTTTGCTGCTCTACTCTGCCTCCTTGTGCATAGGCAGCAGGGATGGGGAAAGCCTGACTCACTCTACAGCTCTTCACTCCCAGACTATGAGCAAGGCCAATAGCACTAGGACTCCTTTTGTGGCTGTCATGGCCTTTGATGTCTGAAGTAATAAAGAAGACTCAGAGCCCGGAGAGGCTCATCAAAGCTGCTAAGATGTTAAGTGAGATCAAACTGATGACCTTGGAAGTAAAGGCACTGGTATCTCTGCCATTCTGGATACTGTGACCTCACTGTGCCAGCCACAGCTGGTTGGCTTAGAGGAGTACTTGGCCTAAGCTGAACCAATGACTTCCTTCCTTGGGATTTTGAACTTGGGACAAAGTGAGAATTGAATCCATCCTTCCCTATGAGAATTAAAACCTGGAGATTTCAAAATCTGGAGCTACTGGCTACCATGGAAATTTCTCTCACAACAAAAGAGATTTGAATAATAAAAAGTCCTTTTCACTCCCCTGGGTACCCGAGGGTAAGTACAGTAACATTTTCCACAACATTCAAGAATGAAAGGGGAAATATATCTTCCCAGAAGAATCTATTTTGAGAAAGTTCTCCCCTGTCTTCTCCATAGCCTATGGCTTCTGAAGATAGTTCTAATCTTCCCTGAAAAATCACAGCCACACTGGGCCCTATGGCCTCAAAGTTGTCAATTGGATCTCTCCATCATGCCCAGCAATGATGCCTCAGAGTGATGCCAAGGTCTCACATGAGAAAGAGGAAAGAAAAACATTGCATCAAAAGGATTGCAAGGTACACCTTTGGACACCCTCCCCCAGTATCCACCTCTGTATCTGCAAAAAAAAAAAAAAAATGTCTGGGATAGACAGAATCAATGTTTTTTGCTAGCTGGAGGGAGGGAAGGATGGATGGATGGACAGATGTTCTATGAGAACACTATAGTTCCCTAAAGGCAGAGTGAGGAACATCTGGCTAAGGTAAGAAGTGAGGCCTTGTACTGACCAGTGAGACAAACGCCTGCCTGGAAAATGACCTGCTGGGGGACTGTGAGCTACTCACTCTGCCTCTCTAAGCCTCATGTTCCCTATTACACAAATACAGGGCTGTCCTAGCTCCTTCTCTCCCTGGTTCCTTCCATCTCCTAAGTCTGAGGAAACTTCGTGGGGATAGTGTGTCCCCAAGCTGTGAAAGCAGAGCCGTATCCAGGCCCTCTGCAGAGTGGGGCTCACTGCCCATCTGCTGGTCCTGTTTGCAGAGCGACACCAGGACGGGTGGGCAGTTGGGAGGTCTCCAACTTTGCTGAGAACATCGCTGCAGATGCTTCCGCAAAGGGTGAGACGTGGGCCTGGAGCAGAGTGAGAAGTCTGGAGCGCTGCCACTCAGTGCTGTCCTCACACTCACCAGACAGGCACCAGCCCCCAAAGCCGAGGACTCCCCACTGGGTGCGGTGGCAGGGCACTGTCAGAGAGAGTGCCCTACTCTCCCACACCCCAGGGTCAAGGGATGAATTCCCAGAAGCACTGGGGTGAAGGCAGTGGTGAAAACGATGCCACTCTCCAGCCCACAGGGACACACGGGACCTTTAGGATCAGACCTTTGCCTGGTTTAGTTTCTGATCCTTGGGGCTCAGGGCATTGTCAAGTTTTTTTACTAAAATGTTCCTCACCTCAAGTAATCAGGAGATACAAATACACACCAGTGAGCAGACATCAATTCTACAGACCCAAACTCCTCAACCCAGCCAGGGTATCTTGGTGCCAACTGCTAACAAATCCTTATCCCTGACTGAGCACTCACTAAGTGCTAGGAGCTGAGGCGGACGCCTTTCCTCTAAGCTTCGCAGTGACCCTGTGCAGCAGGCGCCCTATTCCACCGTGATACTAAGGAACAGACTGAGTGTAGAGAGCCTGTTAACTCTCCTAAAGGCCAAGTGAGCAAGTGGCATAACTGAGATAGGAATTTTGCTTTGTCCACTGGCAAAGTGTGTGACTCTAGCCACTGCACCACACTGCTTCCCGGCACAGCCCAGATCCTAAAACCAAAGCGTCTTCCCCCCTGGACACACCACCCTGCCACTTGCCTACACTCTGGCTGCAGTGCTCGTCCTGCAAGTCCTGCCACACCTGTGCTCACATCCTGTGTGCTCCCTGGAGCGCTCCAGGCTCTGCTTGAGGTCACCTCCTCCATGCAGACCTCCTGACTCTCCCAGCCCCGATAGTAAAATCAACTCATCTCTCCCTCATACCTCGTTGACTCTGGAGATGAATCTAACATGGGAAATGCTCTCACTATTATTTATGTGTCCATCTCAGTCTTCTGGAAAATAAAAGCCACACCTTCTCCACATCTGTGTGCCCAGGACCAACCATGCCAGGCGCACATTCAGGAAACAGTGAATGAATAACGAAGTGAACTGAAACTTCATCAGAAATCCAATTTCAAGTGACCCAAGAGAGCCACAGCATGGAGCGAGGGTGCCTGGCACACGATACACACTTATGCAATAAAAACATCTTAGGAAGGAAAGAATAAATAAGTGATAAGATCACTCACCATTTTCACCCTTATTTCTATGCACTCTCTTTCCAGGTGACCTAGAGAGTTAGCCAAGTCTAGATTTAATTTTAAAATATGGAAATGCAAATATCATATGCTAGTAAGCTGATCACTAACTTTTTTTTTTTTTTTGGTGCCAGGGATTGAACTCAGGACCTTGCACTTGCAAGGCAGGTGCCAGAACCACTGAGCTAAATCCCCAGCCCTGACCATTAACTCTTAAATCCCAAATTAAACTTTTCTCTTTTTTGAGATGAGGACTCACTATGTTGCCTAGGCTGACCTCTAACTCTTGGGCTCAAATTATCCTCCTGCCTCAGCCTCCTGAGTAGCTGGGACTACAGATGTATACCATCTCATCCCAGCTTCCATATTAATGTTTTAAGCAATTCTTCAGAGACAACAGACTTTCTAAATGCAATAAAAAAGAAGCTCTTGATATACAAAGCCTTGCCAATAAAAGCGTATTAGTCAGTCTGTATTGTAAACAGGCTTGGCCTAATTCAGGGTAGGGGGGATAAGGTCCTCAAGTTTTTAATTGATTAAGCCTTTATGTAGGGGCCTCCTCCAGATGCAGACCCTGATACAAGGATTTGAGTGCTAGTTTGGGGGGCACATGACCCCAGGAAGCAGAGGCAGGGAAGATGAGAAGAAAGACACAGAAGACACTGGGCCAATGCATAGTGTGTCATTGGTCCGGCTGCCACTGTGTGGAAAAAGAGCCCAAACTTCTGAATTGGCCCAGAAATTTAAAGGGAAAGGGAGGTGGGAAACTTGCCCTCTACGTCCTGTCAGCCTCTCCTACTCCCAGGGCCATATGCTCCCCAGTACACCCACCCCAGCAAACAGCCAGGGCTGTGAGGACACCTCAGGTGGAAGGGACAGGTGCTGGGCGGTAGGACCCCGCAGCAAGCACAGGAATGGTGGCACGGAGGCAAAGCTAGGGCCTCCTGCCTGCCTCTGCTCCTCTCTTCCCTTTACAGTGTGTGCTGCAGCCCCTCAACCTGCCCGCCAACCTGCAACCTATTTTCTGCTCGATCTGAATCCTCCTCCTCCTCCTTCTTCCCCTTCACCCATCCCTCCTTTCCCTACTTCTCCCCTCCCAGCAAAGCCCCTGCCATGAAATCAGAGCATCTTGCTTAGTATTTGTTTACTTAGGAACAGTGAGTTTTATGCACACTGTTCTTAACTGAATTCTCAGTGAGTTTCTATTTGAGGATGGAGAGGCATTCTGCCCAAGAACAGGGGACTTAAAATCTTGGCACTTTGTTACTGCTGCACCCCTACCACTTGGAAGGAAGACCTACCTGGGATTCAGCCTTTTATATGGGGCCTGTGAAGCTGTTCATGTTCTCGGCAACACCAGTTATTGACCATGTCACTGTGGGAGGGAAGTGGATTTCCCTCCAGACAGCCCACAGCCATGCTCCAGAAGCAGCGGTGACTCACCGCTCTGTCTCTGTGGGCACCTGATACGGAAACGCTCCTGCAAAGTGTCAGGCAGGTAGCTCCAAGAAAGCACTTGGTCTCCACCTAGACCACAATCTGGAGGCCTTGCCGCTCTTGTCATTTTGGGGAGTCCCCTCTCAGTGACTGCATCAAGAAAGCAAGTTTTTCATTGTCTCAGTGTCTGGCCTTCCAGTTCTTTGTCCCTCTGGGAATTTAGCATAGAGCACAAGTTTGGGGAATGTTTGCAGAATGAAAGAATAAACGAGGGAAAGGATTGGAGAGATGCCAGGGAGACTTACTAGAGCCTCACACAAGCTTCCAAGAACTCGTGCTGTCCGCCAGCCAGAGATGGAGGGAATCCAGAGTCCAGGAAGTCCAGCGTTTTTCACCCTTCAGGGGGCGTGGGGGCCAGACTGGGCCTGAGTGGCTACATCTCCCCCAGATAAAACCAGGCCCTGACTCCTGTGGGCTTTCTACTGGGCTCAGGAAATGGAGTTTCCACTTCTTTAGAAAGTTAGAACATCATTAGTCTACAGGGGCCAACTCCACAGTCGCTACTCTGTTCTGCTGTAAAGGGGGCTCCACACACTCAAGGGAGGCCAGACTGGTACACGGTTCCCGGCTCGGCCCACAGCCGCCGTGTTCCGCAAGTGAAGGACACCTGGAGTGCCAGTCAGGGGCACACCCCACCCCACCCCGCCAGAAGGCGGGCCCGGGATGGGAGGAGGGTGCAGAGGGCCCAGAGCTGGAGGAGATGGAGGCGTGGGCGACTGACACCTCCGACCCGACTGGGAGCAAACGCTGTCTGCAGGTGGGGGAGGCCGCGGAAGACGGGACGGAGATCCCCGGCCCACGGCGAACCTCAGGAGCCTACCCGGCTTCAGTGCAACAGCACAAGGCCCCTCTCGAGCCTAGGCGGATCGGAAGTCGCCACAGCCCTCGAGGATGGCGGCCAGGAGAGGCCTGGGGCAAGCACTGAAAGGGCAAATCCTGCGCTGCACCCCAGGAATCCCCTCTCCGTGACCTGCGGGTCGCGGAGGAGCAGCAGCTCAGGCAGCCTGGAGGTTGAGGAGGCAGAGGGCGCCCCGGCTGCCGGAACAAACACGGCCAGCAGCGCCACCCCTGGCAACTTCGGGGAGTGCAGCTCACTGCCGCCCCACGCGGGCTTGAGGCGAACTCCCATGGCTCTGCCTTGGCAGTTGGGGTTTACGGCCATCTGAACTCCTCTCACACGCACACATACGCGCACGCGCACGCACACATCCACATGCATGCAGGCACAGCTCACATGCTTTTGTCTCCAAATTTATTTCATATCAAATCCCAATCATCAAATCATTTCACCCTTAAATGTTTCCGTATGTGCCTTTAAAATAAGTAAAATAACCACAGTACCATTATCCCGCCAAAAAATAATTCCTTCATATTCTCCAATATCCAACTGTCTCATAAATTCGTGTTTCTCTATAGTTTATGCATCGGGGTCCTAAAAACTCTACACATCATGACTGGTTTGGCATCTTTGGAGTCTTTTTCAATCCATGTTTCCTTTTCTTCCTTTTTTTTCTTTTTTCTCACAATTTGTTTGTTGAAAGAACCTGGGCATTTGTCCTGACACGTCTCCTAGTCTGGATTTTGTGGGTTGCCTCTCTGTGGTATCATGTCCCACGTCTCTTAGACTTTCTGAGTTGTAAATCCTGCTAGTTGGGGTTAAATCTACAGGGCTGCTCAGAGTCTGTGTTGCTCTTCTGTCGAGTCCACTTGAGGACCGGCACGTCCTCTCAGCAGCCCCTTCCTCTCCCACCAGCAGTGATGGCCGTGGCGTACAGCCACTGCTCACCAGGGATGGCAGAATGGTGATATTCTACCTGCACCATTAGCTATTTACTTCTAAATCTGAGCTTCTATTGATTCAGAGCCTCGTTCCACAACAAAGATGTCCCCGTGAGAAAAATCTCTTCTGGACTTGACCTTGGGTGTCTTCTCCTCTCTAGAGCTGTGTTGGCCAAGGAGGCCACCTCCATCCACACATGGCTAATGAGCACCTGCAAAGGGGCCTTCCAAATCTGAGGTGTGCTGTGAATGCAAAACATGTTTCAGATCCCAATGACTCACTTCATAAGAGAAAAGTAATAAAACATCCATTAATAATTTTTGTACTATTTGCAAGCTGAAATAATATTTTAATATATTAGGTTAAATGAACTATATTATTAAAATTAATTTTCCTGGTTCTTTTTACTTTTTAAATGTGGTTACTAGGGAGGTTAAAATTATTTATGCAGCTCACATTCTGTTTCTTTCAGATATTACTCATCTAACAGTTGCAATGAATTCAGTAATTTTCACAGTGACTATTGAGCACTATCTACGTGTTAGGCACTGTTCAGAGGATGTGGCAGTGAACGAAACAGGAAAAGCCCCTGCCCTCAAAGCCCTTGGAGCTTGGATTATATAAGGCAGAGACATATTAGCAAATCTCTAGAACATCAAATGATGATAAAGTGTTGGGGACTAATTAAGGAAGACTCCTATGAGTAGGAGGACTTTGATCAGCAACCCCAAGGAGATAAAGCAATGTGCTCTGTGCATATCTGGGTAAGGAATTCTAGAAAGATAGGGGAAGAACAATCATGCAAGACCAATGTAATGACCAATAGGGCTTAGTTTCGCTTTTTTAAAGTAAAATATAACTTACATGTGGTAAATGTCCCTTTTTTTTAACTACACAGTTTTATGAATGTTGAAAACTATATACAGAATTAATTTTACTTTCATAAAACAACCACTACAATCAAGATACAGAATATTTCTATCATCAGTAAAGATTCCTCTTGTGCCTTTCAGTCAATTCCCTCCTCCTCCTCCAGTCTTGTCTTAGTTACTTTCTCGTTGCTGGGACAAAATATCCAACACCCACAAGTTAAAAGAGGAAAGGTTTATTTTGTCTCACAGTTTGTAAAGGTTTCAGCCCATACTTGGCTGGCTCCAAGGCAGGGCAGCATGGCAAAGGTGCATGGCAGAGGAGAAAGCGCTCATGGCAGGGCAGGCAGGAGTCAGCAAGATTTCCTTCTTCTTTCCCTTGTTATTCCATCCAGGCTACAAGCCTATTGGTTGGTTCCACTCACACCCAGGGTAGGCCTTCTCTCTTCAGTAAATCCATCATCCACACCCAGAACTATGCAAACCCAATCAGCGGACTAATCCAGTATCACACACTCAAGATCCAATAACTTCTAAAAGTCCCACCTATGATCACATGAGATTTTGGGAGGACAACTAGATATAAGTCATAACAAGCCTCTAACAACAATTTATCTAACCCTATAGTTTTGACTTTTCCAGAGTGTCATATAAATGAAAATATATGCTATACAGCCTTTTGAGTCTGGAGGTGGACACAACCTGCAGGAGGCTTCTTTCATTTAATGCTTCTACGAGATCTCCCTGTTGTGTTTAGCAGCAGTTTGTTCTTTTTATTGTTGAGTAGTATCCACTGTACAGATTATTATTCATTCACCAGGTGATGAACAGGAGAAATGTTTAAGTTGATAAAGGAAAAAAAGAGAAACAGAAGTACAGTAAATGGAAGACATGAAATAATATGGCGGAAGTGAGGCATAACAGAACAGTATTTGCAATAGAGAAAATTGGAGTATAGTCATCAATCAAAGGATAACTGAGTCCAAGATTGTATAAGCAAAATAAGACCTGGTAGTGTGCTATTTAAAAACACTTAGAACAAAAGAACACAGCAATTGAAAAGGATTAAAAAGCACGTGTCAGGCAAATATGAACCAAAAAAAGGCTGAGGTGATCATCTTTCACAAAATGTAATTTAATGCAAATAATGGATCATGAGGAAGTATAGATTTTCAAACAGCCATCCATAAGCATATATTTTCACTAAAAATTATAGCTTCAAAATATGTAAAATTCCAAATTATAGAATTGAATAGAGAAATAAGCCAAAAATTATATTCGAAGAATTTAATTTATCTCTCTAAGGAACTGACTGAGCAGATAAACAAAAATTTCAGTCAGTAAGCTAATACATGTATCTTGAACTCTGTCCCTTATAACCAGATACCATTCTTTTCAAGCACACATGGAATATTCGGTAAAACTAAATATTAAAATAAACCACAATAAATTTCAAAAGATCAGCATCAATTAGTCTTTCTTTTCTAACCATATGTAATAAAATTTTTTAAAAAGATTACTGACCAACCTCTTATTTTTAGAAACTGAATAACATAGTGCTAAGTGACCTATGAATTAATACGGAAATTGTCAGAACTAAGCAAGTAAGTGCTGCATGTCAAAACTGAAGGGAATAACCTAAGCAAAACCTGGAAGAGATGTATCATTTAAAAGTATTTATCATAAAACCAGAAAGATTTCATGAAAACGAGCTAAATGTTCATTAATGAAGTTGAAAGAGAACAAGAGAGGCAAGGACAGTTTGGATTAACAGAAGCAGAGACAGAGAAATCCAGGCAAATTTGGATGTGTTTTGAAGACAGAGTAAACAGGAGAGCCGAGCGTGGTGGTGCACGTCTGTGATCCCAGCACTCAGGAGGCAGAGGCAGGAGGTTTGCAGCAAGTTCAAGGCCACCCTGGGCTACATAGTGAGCTCAAGGCCAGCCTGAAATACATAGCTAGATGCTGTCTCAAAAAACAACAACAACAAAGATATATAAACAGGATAAATACGTGTCTGGAATTCAATAAAAGTCACTGATATACATATAAACTTGGGAGTCATCAGAATAGCAACACCATAGCCAGCTGGAGGGCAAGTTAGACAGAACAGAGCAGAGGGCCTGGGTGACCTCACCTGAGACTGAAATGGTTTAATCTAGTGGGAGTCCCCAGACATGCTAAGTGGAGAGATGCTGCCTCAGGCCAACAAAGCCCATGAGAGCCTGCAGTGTAAACGAGAACACCCTACAAGGAACATAATCATCAGGCAAAGTAGATTTCAATATCATTGTCACCGTGGCCACCACCATCACCATCATCTGTTTCTTTATTCATTTATTCAGTACCTCATACAAGGGATATTATTGTCCCCGTTGTATCAAAGGGGAAACTGAAGTTCAGCAGGGTTTAGTAATTTTGTCCAAAACAGAGGCAAGATTCAATCCCAGATGTGGAACATTGCCAATGTGCACAACAGATGAAAACCTGGGAACAACCCGAACTCTCATCAGAGAGGGAATATTCCAGCAATTATAGGAACAAGGGAAAGACTGCTATTATTCAAGTGTATTTTAAAAGTCAGCCAGCCAGGCATGGCAGTGCATGCCTGTAATCCCAGCACTTGGGAGGTTGAGGCAGGAGGATCACCACCGAGAGTTCAAGGCCAGCCTGGGCTACAAAAGGGAGATCCTGCCTCAAAAAAACCAAAAAAAATTAGCCATTGGGCGGCAGCAAGAGCACTGTTTGGAGAGCCCACCACAGGGCCCGGCCCTGCTCCACCACATATGGGTGTGTGGGCTGTGGCTGGTGTACTGTCTGAGCCTCCACTTCCTCATCTGGTCGGTGAGGACTACGATTCCCTCTCCTGTGACCCCAACATGTCTTCAGTGAAAGCCAGACAGAAACAGACGCAAAGTCTTTGTTTCAATAGAAGGCTCTGCAAACTTAAAGGACAATGGCAGCCACTTTCAGAACTCCAAACAGGCCTGGCCCCACTCAGGTGACTCTTAGCACCTGGGAAGCCCAGTCCTTCTGGCAGCCAGATTGTAAGACTCCTCCATGCCTCTCCAGCCTTGCACACACACCGAGAGACACCCTTAGACTCAATCAACTAGGCCCTCTCTGCCTTGTGCCCTACTTTAGAGGGCCCTTCTTTGACCTTCCCATGGCCATGCCCTTCCCCTCAGGACAAGAAAGTCAAAGGACCAAGAGCACATGCCCACCTGTAGCGGCCCCTGCCTTTCCTAGACCAATAGTTCCCCCTGGACCCCAGAACTTCCTGAGCCTGCACAAAGGACTTTGCTATCCCAGAGACAGACTGTCCCCATGTATGCACCCCTAGGCTCAAAGGACCAAAAGGCACAGGGAGATGAAGGAC